CCCTTGGTGATAGGAACTCCCATTGATTTGGCCCCCTGAAAGTTAATACCCTTTATACCCCCCTCTCTCCCCCAGCCTCACCCCCTCTCCCCCCTTGCCGGGGCGGCAGGTAGCTTAGTGGTTAAGAGCGTTGTGCCAGTAACCGAAAGGTCGCTGGTTCTAATCCCCGAGCCGACTAGGTGAAAGGCACTTAACCCTAATTGCAAGGCACTTAACCCTAATTGCTCTTGTAAGTCGCTCTGGATAAGAGTGTCTGCAAAAAAAATTGTTTTATATATATATATATATATATATCCCAGGCATGTTACGATCAGGACCAGCCCTGCTCTACTTTACAGCTCAGGACTAGGATGACCGTTTATTCTGAATACCAGATTTCAGGTGGCCCTGCTTATCCAGGGGTTATCTCTTTTGCGTGTTTCCATACAGGATTTGCCCCAGTGTTTTACCCAAAAAGGCTCAGACTTTTCTGTTTCCATCTACGTGGGCCGTGTCTCAGTGGGCCAAGGCTCCAGTGGATCTGCTCTTACCAAAGCCAGGTCGCTTGTACATTTCAGCAGCCATTTACATTACAATGGCTAACAGTGAACTTTAACACCTTCTCACAAAGCAACTGTTTTGATTATGCAGAGGTTGTTGATTATGCCTTTCTTAAGTCCTCACTGTCAGCCCTAGATATGGAAACACAATATCCCTAGTATAACATAAGGGTGTATACACTAGTGTAACACTGTTGTTCCAGTCTAAAAGCAGCATTTGTCTTCAGGGGCTGTTTGAAGGGAACTTTCTTTAGTTTAAGCTGGGGTGTGTGGCACTAGAATTAAAAATGTGTGAAATTCCTCCTTGCTATTTCTGTGTGTATGAGCAGGGCTAGGTCATTTTCCCTTTTAGGGTTCATTTTCAGATTAGAATAAAGAGACAAGCTGATAGTGACAGGGTCCTCTAATTGTTCAAATTTAATTTCAGAGATCCTGTGGGATATATACCCTGGTGTCCTGGCTAAATTCCCAATCTGGCTCTCATTCCATCATGGCCACCTAATCATCCCCTGTAACTATTCCCCAGGTCGTTGGTGTAAATGAGAATGTGGTCTCAGTCAACTTACCTGGTAAAATAAGGGTTTGCTTTGCTTTATCTTGGCCAGGTCGCAGTTGTAAATGAGAACTTGTTCTCAACTGGCTTACCTGGTTAAATAAAGGTAAAAAATAAATTTAAAAAAAGGGTAAAATAAGTTAAATAATATACATCTGATTCGGTTATTATTCCAATGTATTAATACTCCTGATATATTTCCATATACAGTACCAGTCAAATGTTTAGACACACCTACTAATTCAAGGGTTTTTCTTTATTTTTACTATTTTCTACATTGTAGAATAATATTGAAGACATCAAAACTATGAAATAACACATATGGAACCATGTAGTAACCAAAAAAGTGTTAAACAAATCAAAATATATTTTAGATTTTAGATTCTTCTAAGTAGCCAACCTTTGCCTTGATGACAGCTTTGCACACTCTTGGCATTCTCTCAAACAGCTTCATGAGGTAGTCACCTGGAATGTATTTCAATTAACAAGTGTGCCTTGTTAAACGTTCATTTGTGGAATTTCTTTCCTTCTTAATGCGTTTGAGCCAATCAGTTGTGTTGTGACAAGGTAAGGGGGGTATACAGAAGATAGCCCTATTTGGTAAAAGACCAAGTCCATATTATGGCAAGAACAGCTCAAATAAGCAAAGAGAAACAACAGTCCATTGTTACTTTAAGACATGAAGGTCCAGAGTTACCTTTGCTGCAGAGGATAAGTTCATTAGAGTTACCAGCCTCAGAAATTGCAGCCCAAATAAATGTTTCACAGAGTTCAAGTAACAGACACATCTCAACATCAACTGTTCAGAGGAGACTGTGTGAATCAGACCTTCATGGTTGAATTGCTGCAAAGAAACCACTACTAAAGGACACCAATAAGAAGAGGAGACTTGCTTGGGCCAAGAAACACAAGCAATGGACATTGGACCGGTAGAAATCTGTCCTTTGGTCTGGTGAGTCCAAATTGGAAATGTTTGGTTCCAACCGCCGTGTCTTTGTGAGACGCAGAGTAGGTGAACGGATGATCTCCGCATGTGTGGTTCCCACCATGAAGCATGGAGGAGGAGGTGTGATGGTGTGGGGGTGCTTTGCTGGTGACACTGTCGGTTATTTATTTAGAATTTAGACTATCATTTGTTTTTCAAAAGGACAATGACCCAACACACCTCCAGGCTGTGTAAGGACTATTTGACCAAGAAGGAGAGTGATGGAGTGCTGCATCAGATGACCTGGCCTCCACAATCACCCGACCTCAACCCAATTGAGATGGTTTGGGATGAGTTGGACCGCAGCACTGATTTGTTTAACACTTTTTTGGTTACTACATGATTCCATATGTGTTATTTCATAATAATAATAATAATAATAATAATTTCATAGTTTGGATGTCTTCACTATTATTCTACAATGTAGAAAATAGTAAAAATAAAGAAAAACCCTTGAATGAGTAGGTGTGTCCAAACCTTTGACTGGTACTGTATATTCAGATCATCTCAATGTTAGAGGGATATACCTTCAGAAATGACATAAAATAGACAATTCTTAATTCAAAATACTTTTTATTTGATATAATACAACCGATTCTATTCAGTCAAACATGGCATCATTATAACCCCTTTTCCTGCTATTTCCTTTAGTGTATCTTCATTTCTGTAATGGTATTCCTTCATATTTAAGTAACATGCACAAAATGCCGGAGCAATAAGCCACCGAAATACGACTGTACAATTTTACAAACGGCACCCCTTAGTCCACGAGCACTGGGGAGTTGAGATGGAGTTTTGGACCAAACTTTTATGTTCTGAATTCAAACATTCACTGTAATTTTCCCAGGGCTTATATTTCAAGCAGATTTAGCTAGAGGGGTCATTGGAACTCGAATACATTGATCTTTGTTTGATGCAGCAGTCTAATCTCTAATCAGACTGCTATCTGTATGTGAAAGCCTTACACTGACCTCTACTGGTCATAGAGAAGAATTCACCTAGAGCTGAATAATCTCTCCTTTCTCTTCTCTTTTTACAGTAATTTCCTTTGATTCCGAAGATGAAAGGTTGGGCATTGAAATAAACAAATCACAACTACATTTATTTGATTTGATGTGTAAAAAACAACAGTTGGTAATATATTATAGTAGCAATATGAACGGAAGTATTTGAAGTTCTAAAAGCACCTGCCTTTGGCAAAAGTCTCACTTTGATGTGTACAGAGCATGCAGATGCAGCACTTTACATCAATATTGTCAACTGATACAACAACCCAAGTAGTTAACAGTCTCTAAACTGCTATCCTTTATCTAAGAACCAGAGATGTAAGCCTGAGCCAGGTGTATGGTGTGTAGTATTGTGCTGGAGTAGAAAAAGCCAGTAGAGATCATTGAATACAGCAGAAGGCTGTGGCACATCATCATTGGACTTCATTGACAGACTGTGTGACACCTTACTACATTACAATACAACCCCTTCATGTCTCCTGTTGTCAAGAAAACATATGTTTGAAATATCAGTCGGTCTCCGTCCCCAAGCATTCCCGTCAGACTGGCTATGGCATGGCCATTACTCTGGCCACATCTCAATAGTCTTTCCTCGATTCCTTGTGTCCTCTCCCCCCGTCCTCTCCCCATCTCTTCTCTCCAAATATAATCCTGTCCTGACTTCCCTCTGACTTTTAGAGAAATAGACAGAGAAAGGATGGGAGCAGAGAACACAAGGAATCAAGGGAAGACCATTAAGTCTGAAGTGACACTAGAGTGACGTCATGCCTGCAGAGTGCCTCCAGGGGGCTCCCTCGCCCCTTTTTAGTCTGGAATCTCCAGATCAAACAAGCGCCAACTTCGGTCAAACAGAATAAGAGAACATGGGAGAGTTCTCTCATTCTCATCCTTTTGAAATACTGCGGTAGGAGCAGAAAAAAAATATGTTCTATGAGAGATGAATCCAATGTTCTACGTATATACAGAACAAATGTATTTGCTGTTATGCCCTCATCTCTCCTCAGTGTCTACAGCAAGATATCGCACTGTAGACTACGTTCAGTGGAGGAATGACTTAATGTTTAAACATTGCCTGAAAATAGAAATAGCTGTCTTTTATAAAGGGGCCTCGTAAGAATCCAGCAGGGTGAGAGAAAAGTAGAACGAAAGTAGAAAGAAAAGTAGGTCCACGATCACTCCACATGCTTTTATCAGCATGTTTACAAGAAGAGCAGCCGCCAATCCTGCACACACACACACACACACACACACACAAACACACTCAATTTACGCACATATTTACACACACACACACGGACGCAATTTACTCACATACGTACACACAAACGCATGCAGCACGGGCACTCACTCACACTTCTCCAGTGACCTCCTCAATCAGGAATGGACATTTCTTTTCTTCCTTTTAACAAATCCTACGGCCCTCTGATAGACAGTACAATAGATACTGTGTAGAAATTCTCAAAAATGAAAAATAAAACAAGCAAAGTCACCATAATAAAACAAGCAAAGTCACCATAATACCTGATGTCCATTAAGTATTCTTCATAACCTCAGCCACTGCAACATCTAGCTGGGTGCTACACATTAGTGGTGCCACTTAGAGGCACGTCTTCAACCTCAAATCACATCGCTCAAAAAATCAGATGAACGGCGCATACTGTATATTCCATTAGAATCATGGTTTATTTTTCTCAGAATGTCGGTGAACCGCCCGGTAACAGTCTGAAAAAGCAGCTGTAACAGCCTGGAAAAGCAGTCTCCATCTAGTGCTTGCTCCTTACAGAAGCACCCATCCACCTTCAAAAGGACCCTTAAGTTACAATAGCATCAACATATGGTAGGCCTAGATGAGGTCCTCCTGCTTCTCTCTGTAGCTGTGGCGGTCCGTGACCCTCCTTCCTCCTAGGGGTCAGGGTTCATAGGTCATCTTCATTGAGCTGGGCCAGGTTGCTGGAGCGCTTGCCAGCCAATGGACCAGAGACAGATACAGGAGGAGGTCCAGCCTCACCAGGCAGGCCCCTGGTACTGCAGCCCTCTCCTGCTGTCTGCTGGGGGAGAGGAGGAGACACAGATTCAAATATGTTTACAACTTCATAGATAGATTCAATGAAATATAGCCTAAATAGCTAGTACCAATTCACTGTTGTTTGTCAGAAGAGAGGCATATGCCTCACTATAGCCATTGTGTATAACTCGGGGAGAAATCTCAGATGTCAGAAGATATTTTTTTAGGGGAATTTAGGCAAAATGTTAACGAATAAAGATGTTTTGCAAATGAGCTACTGCACTGAACAAAAAGGTCCTTGCGACACGGGGCCATGCATTATTGGTGATGACGGCAGAACAATGGCACGACGACGGGCCTCAGGATCTCGTCACGGTATCTCTGTGCATTCAAATTGCCATCGATAAAATGCAATTGTGTTCGTTGTCCGTAGCTTATGCCTGCGTATACCATAACCCCACTGACACCATGGGGCTGGGGCACTCAAATTGCCATCGATAAAATGCAATTGTGTTCGTTGTCCGTAGCTTATGCCTGCGTATACCATAACCCCACTGACACCATGGGGCTGGGGTACTCTGTTCACAACATTGACATCAGCAAACCGCTCGCCCACATGACATCATACACACTGTCTGACATCTGCTCGGTACAGTTGAAACCGGGATTCAGACGGTTTCTGACCGTTTGTGCAGAAATTCTTTGGTTGTGCAAACCCACAGATTCATTTGCTGTCTGGATGGCTGGTCCCCCAGCAGTTTCTCCTGGTTTGTTTTCATATTCATATTGTTAACATGGGTGATAAATCATGTCTATAAATCATACAATAAACCTAGAGAGCAGATTGAAATGTACTGATATGTAAATCATGTAATTATATTTCAGCATGCATGCTTTCCCATAATGGAGAAGGGGAATAGGTTTCTAAGAAAAGTTGTGTATCCTTGCATGTGTTTATTTCTGTGCTGTGTGCTGTGTGCACATGAGTGTGAGTGTTTGTGCATGTACGTGCATATACCTGTGTGTTATGCAGCCCATTGGACACTTCTTGGCACTGCAGTGGGGTCTGGGTCTGGGAGTAGTGAGACAGACCAGACTGGTCAGTGAAAGCCAGCTGGACGTGAGATGGCAAGACTGTTGTCTGGTTGTTCCTACTGACCAGAGGAGACTGCAAACACACAGACACAACACAACTAAACATTAGATACTGAGAGCTGATAGTCAACAGATTATTGTTTTTCTTTATTGTTGCATGAAAAAAGTTTCTCATGAGATCTCAGATTATTTCAGATTTAATTGAAGGATTCCTGATCCAGACATGTGGTCTATAGAGTGGATGTTGTGGTCTAATGTAGCCTAAGGGGTGGATGTGTACACTCGGTCAGGCTTGGCTGGAGCCCATTCCAGTCCAGCGAGCTAAACGGGGACGGCAGTGTCTCGTTGTTTGTGGTCAAACAGAAGCACAGTGTTTGGCCCCTGGCTGCTGCAGGTCACTGAGGTGTGTGTGACTGGGCCCCTTACCTCCGGCAGTATGTGTGTGTGTGTGTAGTCTATGTGTATATACAGTATGACTTTACCTCCTGGGGTGTGTGTGTCTCAGCGGAGCCCTGGAGGCCCGTTCCCTGACCCCCCTGGCTGGGCAGGTAGAGGGTGGGGAGGGAGGTGTTGTAGGACCGGAGCCAGGGCAGGCGCTGGCGGTCGATGGAGGCTGAGGAGTGGGGGCGCAGGGGGCCGGGGGCCGCAGACAGGGGGGCTCTCATGCTCCGGCCCAGGCTGTTGGACTTGTTGGTACTCTCCCTCCGCTGGTACTCGATGGGAGACTGGAGGGCTGGATGAATGAATGGTACAAGACAGAGAGAGAGGATTTAGACCAGGCAACATTTCATTTTGAAACCCAATGTCTGTCAAAATATTTTGCATTTGTCTTTGTAGTTTTATTGTTTGTGTAAGTCGACTTGGTACTGAACTGATTTTTGGATAACATTACTGCTCAGTGCTCACATTGCATTAGGCCAAACGTAAGACGTGTGACTAGTAAAGATTCCTGGATGTTGTGTTTTGCCATCAGTATGTCTCCAATTGTACCGTTGAGGAAGTTGAAAGGGAATGGAAAGGTAAAGGGGGATACCTAGTACAACTGAATGCATTCAACTGAAATGTATCTTCCGCATTTAACCCAACCTCTGAATCAGAGAGGTGCGGAGGGCTGCCTTAATCGACATCCACGTCTTCGGCGTCCGGGAAACAGTGGGAAAGGCCAGACATGAGTAAAGGTAAGTGGGTGTTTACTGTGTAGGTTTTGTCTGTCTGTGTCTCCTGTCCTACCATTGAGGAAGTTGGCAGCATGGGGTTAAATATGAATCCTGAAAGTAAAGCGTTTGTGTTTTTCTATCAGTATATCTTCCATCCTACCGTTGAGGAAGTTCCTCTGGGTCTCCAGGATCTGTCCCACATCGTTGACCCAGGCCCTGCAGACCTCTGGGGAGGCAGCCTGCAGCACATATCTCACCACACTCCCATCAGCCCCCCGTGAGGTCAGCACCAAACGGCCCGCCTCCCCCTCCACCGGAGCCTCCACCCCCAGACTGCTCACCTGGAACACAGCACAGGTGTATTCAGTAGGGTTGCATAATTCCGGGTTGCAACTTTCCCAAAATGTCACAATTTTCCATAAATGCCGGTTGTAAGATTCCCAGAATGAGAACGGAATAAGCAGGCAATTCTGAATTCTCCAACCAGGACTTCTGGGAAACCTACACATTTTAGAAAAGCAACCCTGCACTGTAAAAAAGAAGAAGATGTTGATTCAACGTACAATTTTAAGGCAACCAGCTGCAATAAGAATGTGGGCATATACACTCTTGGAAAAAAGGGTTCCAAAAGGGTTCTGCGACTGTCCCCATAGGAGAACCCTTTTTGGTTCCAGGTAGAACTCTTGGGTTCCATGTAGAACCCTCTGTGGAAAGGGTTCTACATGGAACCCAAAAGGGTTCTACCTGGAACCAAAAGGTTCTACCTGGAACCAAAAGGGGTTATTCAAAGGGTTCTCTTATGAGGACGGCCGATGAACCCTTTTTAGTTCTAGATAGCACCCTTTTTTTCTAAGAGTGTAGCTGAACCAACATAAACTCTCAAGTTGACTTGTATGTTCACTCAACTTTGAATTTTAGGTTGAGTAAACATGCAATTTAACTTGAGAATTTATTCTACCTTATTTGCATATTTCCCAGAGGGCCTTGCCTTTCGAGTGAATTGTAGTTACCACCCATGACTGTATTTGTTAGCGACAGAGACATGGTTGTTGTATTCAATGCTTTTCATTACTGTAGCCATGCAAAAACACAGGTATTGAAACAAACAATTCTGAAAACAACCTGCAAGACAGCATGCTGGGAAAACGATAATGATGGATGTGGTTTTGGGTTGCTTTGAGCATACATTAATTTGTCATTTTACTCAACAAGCTTGTCCAAATGAACGTTTCTGTAACGTTCCATCCACCTGGAACAGATCACATCTGACTACCATCTGGTGGAAGGAGGAAGACATGCTGGAGTGTGGGTCGTTAAATACCTCACCAACAGAACAGACACAGATGCTTTTAAGGCTTCCAAGAACACTCAATAACTTGTACACAACGTTCGATTTGGACAAACATTATGTTTGTTGACATCGGTTATGCAATTCATTATCTGGGACTGAAATAAGTTATGTAACAGTCAAATGTATTTAGATTCCTTATGGTAAAAAGCCTATAACATTTCTGCATTCAATCTAATCTGAAATTACAGAAGAGAAGAGAAAAAATCAGAAAAGAAGAGAGACCTACCTTGATGCTGCTCTTGAAGGTGTAACCAGGAAGTGAGAATCCTTTCTTCCTGTCGATTGGCTCGCTGAAGATGACCAGCTGTTCAAACAGGAAGACCCGCCTCTCCTTGGCTCGGGACAGGAAGCTGCTGTCCTGTTCCGCCACCGTGAAAGTGTCTTGCTGGAGCAGCTTCCCCTGTGCCGTGATCTTACCCTGGAGAGGAAAGAGACAGATGGAGGGAGAGATGGAGGGAAGAGACACAGGGTGAAAAGAGAATAGGGGTTTATTACATGGCTTACTTATGGCTTGCAGCAGTGTTTTGCAAACCTCTCCTTGAGCACCCAGCCAGTCCACTTAGTCGATGTTTTCCAAAACTAGCAGACCTGATTCAAATTGTCACCTAATCACTAAGCCCTTCATTAGTTGAACCAACACTGCTAGTTCTGGAATACATCAAATAAATCGACTGGCTGGGCCTGGGGTTCCTCGAGGAGAGGTTTGGGAAACACCGGCTTACAGTACAATGGATGACTTGTGTGAGAACTGTGAATGTGGAGTATTTGAAAGAGAGAGACCTAAGTGCAGTGCCTTACCTCGAAGCCCTGCAGACGTCCCACGTTCATCATGTCATTGCAGCGTTTGGGCACAAAGCACATCACCTCTACCGCTTTCTGTGATGGTGAAGGAGAGAGAGAGAATGAGAGTTCCTTAAAGCAACCAAATCCTGAATACAGGTTGGTTGACTAGAGAGAACCCTTCAACTCAACAAAATAACACAGAGACCGCGTACAGCCTCACACTTGCTCTAGTCACCTATTCCTAGATAACCTATATAGTAGATGAATGGTAGATACAGGGTAATAACAGCATGAGCTGTATCAGAAGAACACCCACCTCCAGCTCTTCTGTGTCTATCCCAGCTTTGGTGTAATACTTGAGGAAGTCCTGTTCACATAAACACAGCATGGAGTCAGGAGCATTCCAAGTTTACTAGTCAATCTTTTGTAAGGTGAAGATATCTGGAAGATGCTTTATTAGTTTGAATACCAGAGGTACAACAGGCACAAGGTTGGCACTAGGTAGATGTTTATGACCTTGTTCAAATAGCCACTCATCTTTTATGTACATTTCCACATTGAATTAGACCTTATCGTAGTGCAGGTTTCCGTTTCTGTCTGTGTGTGGTGTGTGTGCGTGCGTGCGTGCGTGTGTGTTTGTGTGTGTCACCTTGAGCAGCAGCTGGTACTTCATGATCCTCTGGACTGGTTTGATCAGCAGGTCGTTCAGCTGTAGCCTGTGACCCAGATGTTGCCTCAGCTCCTGATAGGGCCAACACATACAGTCATTCCCATGACCATATACACTCAGGTCCAAAATTATTGGCACCCTTGATAAAGATTAGCAAAAAAGACTGTCTAATATAAATAAAACAAATATTTAGCTATATTGTATGCAAAACAAAATTGAAATTTATAGAATATTCTTTTGTACTGATACAATTGAAAAAAACAAGGATATTTTGTTTAACAAGTAATACATTTTTTGCTCAAAAAGATAGGGGTCAAAAGTATTGGCACCCCTGTTTCCAATACATTTCAATACCTCACCTTGCAAGGATAACGACACTGAGCCTTTTTCTAAAATGTTTTACACATTGGGAGGGATCTTAGACCATTCCTCCATACAGAATCTTTCCAGATCCTTGATATCCTTCGTCTGCGCTTATGGACTGCCCTCTTCAATTCAAACCACAGGTTTTCAATGGGGCTCAAACCCGGAGACTGAGATGGTCATTGCAAAATGTTGATTTTGTGATCAATTAACCATTTCTTTGTGGATTTTTATGTGTGCTTGGGGTTATTGTCTTGCTGGAAGCTCCACTTGTGGCCAAGTTTCAGCTTCCTGGCAAAGGCAATCAGGTTTTGGCTAAAGGGTCCTGGGACTGGGTAAAGTTCATGATGCCGTTGACCAGGACCAGTGGAAGCAAAATAGCCCCATAACATCAAAGAACCACCACCATTTTTTACCGTAGGTGTGAGGTACTTTTCTGCGTATGCTTCTGTTTTTCAACCCACCACTGGTGTGGTAGCCAAAGAGCTCTATTTTCATGTCATCTGACCATAGCACCGGTTCAAATCCAGGACACGGGATTGAGATACACACAGAGGCATTACTTCAGCCATATACTGTATCATCACTATGACTTAATGTGACATACAGACACATTACCACTACCACCCATCAATATGACATAATATTACCTTCACCTAACCATATATCAACAAGGCATAGCATTATTCCCATAGCCTATCAATGTGACATAAAATTACATTCCTACAACCACCAATCAACGTGACCAAACCTGACATTCCCACAATCACATCAATAGGAAATAACATTACCACAAGGGAGTCTGCAGAAATGTAATTGCTTTTTCAAATGAGAGTTACAGTTAGATAACAGAGATCGATGATGGACTAAGAGATACTCACCTCAAAGTAAGTCTCGATGTACTCAGAGACGATGTGCTCTGACTTGGGTTTGTTCTGACAATACACCACGTACATATGGAGACGCCTCTCCTGTAATACAAACAGTGAAAGCACCCTGTATCAATTTACCATGTCATAAAATATACAACACTATCCATAACTGCTTTAGATTCAAAATAGGACTACATAACTACTGAAAACACCTCCTGCAATATAAAATCAAACAGACACATTCACCTTGTAGCAATTTATAATGTCAGAAAATACTGTACATAACACTATCCACAACTGTTATGAACAGATGGAACTTATCATTCAAAATATAAACTATTGAACATATTGTGTTGTAAGAGGTTCATGACTCAATCCATGAGAGGGTTGCAAAACAAGGAAGCTACAAAACATTAGAGAAAGCAAACAGTCTCTCTCTCTCTCTCTCTCTCTCTCTCTCTCTCTTTCTCCCTATGGTGAGTTTAGTGTGAGTAATTGTCAGACAGCAGAGAGCAGCAGAACTAGCAGTAGTAATAGGTGTGTTGTGTGCATGCGTGCATCAGTCTGAGAGGGGGAATGGAGTTACGTGTAAATGAGCAGCAGGTTATATATAATTTACCCACAATGCTGTCCAGTTATCATCCATGTAACCAGGGCGTTGTACAGCAGAGCAGCCTGGCTCTACCTTTGACCTAGCAACTAATCTGGAGCTCTATAGCCTAGGGACCAGACCAGCACCTGAATAGGCTGTCTATGGGCCCGGGGCTGTCATGAATAACCACTGCAGCGGATGGGGGGGGGGGGGGGGGGGGGGGGGGGCGTGCGTGGGTGCGTGCATGTGTTTGCGCATGCATACAGGACGTGTGTGTGCGCATGCTTATGTATGTGTGTACATGATGGTGTGTTTGTGCATGTATAAATGTGTGTGTGTGTGTGTAAGGCACGTTGTTGCCATAGTACTGCGATGGCAGCCTTGGAATTTACTCCTGCTAATTTAATCATTAAGTAATTGCACAAATTGTTTTGTTTTTGAAAGCGTATTGAGAGTAGACAATTGAACAATTCTGGTTCATAATGATAAACTGGATGATAAACACGACTGCTTCTGCATCAATCAACACATCTGAAATCCTACGCTGTTCTCAGACGTTCCTAAGAAAGAGGCTTTTGGAAAATGAGGACAGCTATTACCACAGACTTCAAGGCTTTCTTAAAGACAGAGGGCTTATTTCGTAGGAGCAGTGACGTGTGGTGAGCTCGGTGGTTGGGTAGACACTGGCTATTATCAAAGCAAGATTTTCTCACAAATAAACCTTGATGAAGCCCAAGTTCACCATACAACAGATACCTCCAACAACCAGAGTGACATAGGCTATTAACCGAAATTGGCAAACACACACACACACAAACACACATAATATTATTATGTGAAATATTATTACACATATTTTGTTCCTCAATTCCTTTTTATTGTCGTGTACTGGATTTTTCTTTCCTTGGGTTGGATAGTGATGACATTATGGTCACTCATGGTTAGTGGGTCCGAGATTGCAGGAACACAGTAGAAATGTGACCGATTGGTAATGACCAGGTCAAGGATTGCTTCTCCTCTTGTTGGTTGGTTAACCATCTGCTTTAAACTGTGACTTTTACATAGACATTACATTACATTTACATTACATTTACATTAGCCTCCCCACATCCTGCCTGTTGAAATCTCCTCTGATAAAAAAACCCAATGGCAGGGTGTTTCACTAGTGCATCAATAGTCTCTACTAAGTGATCGATGAGGATATCACCATGTAGTAAGTCAGGTGGGAAATACACAGCACATATTGCAATTCTGGAAAAGGAGGTCGATATGGTCTGACCTTAACCACTATGCACTAGTTCGTGACGTCAAGCATGTCAGGGGAAATGTTGTTTTGGAACCATGTCTCAGATACAATTTCTATGTCCGATTTAGTGTCCTTGAGATGCCATTCAAACTCGTCTAGCTTGTTGCAGAGGGATCAGGAATTACAGAGGAAGAGTGCTGGTAAGTGCTTATTTTTCTTAGCAAGGGTTTGCACAGAGGCGTGTGCCTGGTTCAGGTGAATGGGCTTGATGTGAATTAAGTTTTGAGCATTTACTTGCTGCCAGAGTGCATTGTTTAAAGTTCCGGAGTGGAACTGCTGACCGGAGCTGGACTAGGCACCGGTGGAGCGGACTACTCTGGCTCCGGAGTGGAGCAACCGACCGGAGCTGGATCAGGCACCGGTGGAGCGGACTGCTCTGGCTCCGGAGTGGAGCAGCTGACCGGTCCAGACCAGGCACCGGTGGAACGGGCACGGGCCGTTGCCTGACTGGACACACGCACCACTGGTCTGGTGCGAGGAGCAGGAACGGGCCGGGCCGGACTGGCGACACGCACCACTGGCTTGGTGCGGGGAGCAGGCACGGGCCGTACCGGACTGGGAACACGCACCACTGGCCTGGTACGAGGAACAGGAACGGGCCCTGGCCGGACTGGGAACACGCATCACTAGTCTGGTGCGAGGAGCAGGAACGGGCCGGGCCGGACTGGCGACACGCACCACTGGCTTGGTGCAGGGAGCAGGCACGGGCCGTACCGGACTGGGAACATGCACCACTGGCCTGGTGCGAGGAACAGGAACGGGCCGGGCCGGACTGGGAACACGCACCACTGGTCTGGTGCGAGGAGCAGGAACGGGCCGGACTGGCGACACGCACCACTGGCTTGGTGCGGGGAGCAGGCACGGGCCGTACCGGACTGGCGACATGCACCACTGGCTTGGTGCGAGGAGCAGGGACGGGCCGTACTGGACTGGGAACACGCACCACTGGCTTGGTGCGGGGAGCAGGCACGGGCCGTACCGGACTGTGGAGGCGGACTGGAGGTCTGGAGCGGAGAGCTGGCACAACCCGTCCTGGCTGGATGCCCACTTCCGCACAGTATGTGTGTGGCGTTAGCACAGGACGCACTGGGCTGTGCACGCGCACTGGCGATACAGTACGTAGAACCGGCGCAGGATATGCTGGACCGAGGAGGCATACTGGAGACCAGGAGCGTTGAGCCGGCACACCCCGTCCTGGCTGGATGCCCATTTTCGCACGGTGCGTGGTGCTAGCACAGGACGCACTGGACTGTGCCTGCACACTGGTGACACAGTGCGTAGCTCCGCATAACACGGAGCCTGCACGGTCACACGCTTCCTAGCGTGAGTACGGGGAGTTGGCTCTGCTCTGAACCCAGGCTCCGCCAACCACCCCGTGTGCCCCCCCCCAAACATTTTCTTAGGGCTGCTTCTCGGGCTTTCTTCCTGACCGAGTCCTTTTGTGTTTCCATTGCTCCTCTCTAACCTGGGCCTCCACTGTCGCCTCCCAAGGACGGCGATCCATCCCCGCCTGAATTTCCTCCCATGTCCAAGATCCCTTTCCGTCCAGGATCTCCTCCCATGTCCAGGATGTCTGCTCCTGGGCACGCTGCTTGGTCCATTTTTGGTGGGATCTTCTGTCACGGACGTTGAAGGACGGGTCAGACCAAGGTGCAGCGTGAAATGCATACATGTTTATTTATCAAAATAAACACACGAACAAAACAACAAAACAACAAAACAACGAAACGTGAAGTCCTCAGGCTAAACACAATACAAGCCTATACACGGAACAAGATCCCACAACTAATGATTGCAAACAGGCTACTTAAGTATGATCCCCAATCAGAGACAACGAGCGACAGCTGCCTCTAATTGGGAATCACACCCGGCCAAACATAGAAACACAATACCTAGAATGTAAACATAGAAATAATAACATAGATCTCAACATACAAGAGTTCCATAAGTCAGGGCGTGACAATGATGTCCGTAAATACAAACTATAAACACCTAGACCACTTTAGGAAATTAAATACATGTTAAAGCCACTAAAGTATAGGCAATGCTGAAAATGAGGAAGTAAGCTACAAAGTAAAATATTTTATAAAGATTTGTATTTGTATTTAATATGGATCCCCATTAGCCAAGGCAGCAGCTACTATTCATGGGGTCTGGCAAAATTAAGGCAGTTATACAATTTTTTAAACATTACAATACATTCATAACAGATTTCACAACACACTAAGTGTGTGCCCTCAGGCCCCTACTCCACTACCACATATCTACAACACAAAATCCATGTATACGTGTGTGTATAGTGCGTATGTTATCATGTGAATGCATGTGTCTGTGCCTATGTTTGTGTTGCTTCACAGTCCCCGCTGTTCCATAAGGTGTATTTTTATCTGTTTTTTTTAATCTGATTCGATTGCATCAGTTACCTGATGTGGAATAGAGTTCCATGTAGTCATGGCTCTATGTAGTACTGTGCGCCTCTCATAATGTGTTCTGGACTTGGGGACTGTGAAGAGACCTCTGGTGGCATGTCTTGTGGGGTATGCATGGGTGTCTGAGATGTGTGCTAGTTGTTTAAACAGACTGCTCAGTGCTTTCAACATGTCAATACCTCTCACAAATACAAGATACCTCTCACAAATACAAAGATATCTGAGGCTGCAGCCAGGATTCAGCACTGCTGAATGGATAGCGCCTCGGGGGCCATTCATACTGTATGAAACCCTACAGGTTAACTCTGTGGTGCTGAATGGACAGCAACCCTATTTTCATGTTCATTCAACAGTAGCCTAACCCCCAAATAAAATGCATTTAGGCCTACCTTTACTTGTAAATGAACTCCATTTAAATGAAGTCCAATAAAGTCTGAGTGATTTGCAGTTGTCCCGTACCATTTTCAAACTGTACAGTCTGACAAGATCAGCCTTTAGTCTAATGAAGTCGAAGTACTTTGCATATGTTGACAGGCTCTCTAGCTTGCTATCATCAAAATATCTTGACAAAGATTTGACACGCTGAGATGCATTTCGCTGACTGAGAGAGCACCAAGTTTAACTTGTGAGCATAACAGTGAATAAATGTAGCTTCAGGCACTTTTTATCTTATTTTGGCCAGCACACCATTAAGATGTAATGCCAACACTGAGGCCCCATCATATGTTTGAGCTACCAGCTTTTCAATGCAGTTGTACTTCCTTAACACTCA